CCTCTTCGTGTGTTGCCTTTCTGTGTGTGTTCCCCAGTGAACTCACCTGATGCTGGATTGGTGTAGAGTATCCACTTCGTGTGTTATCTTTCTGTGTGTGTCTGCTCCCCAGTGACTCAGAAGATGCTGGTTGGGAGTAGAGTATCCTCTTCGTGTGTTGCCTTTCTGTGTGTGCTCCCCAGTGAATCACCTGATGCTGGATTGGTGTAGAGTATCCACTTCGTGTGTTATCTTTCTGTGTGTGTCTGCTCCTCAGTGACTCAGAAGATGCTGGTTGGGAGTAGAGTATCCACTTCGTGTGTTGTCTTTCTGTGTGTGCTCCCCAGTGAATCACCTGATGCTGGATTGGTGTAGAGTATCCACTTCGTGTGTTATCTTTCTGTGTGTGTGTCTGTTTCCCAGTGACTCAGAAGATGCTGGTTGGGAGTAGAGTATCCACTTCGTGTGTTGTCTTTCTGTGTGTGCTCCCCAGTGAATCAGCTGATGCTGGATTGGTGTAGAGTATCCACTTCGTGTGTTGTCTTTCTGTGTGTGTCTGCAACCCAGTGACTCAGCTGATGCTGGATTGGTGTAGAGTATCCACTTCGTGTGTTGTCTTTCTGTGTGTGTCTGCAACCCAGTGACTCAGCTGATGCTGAACTGGTGTAGAGTATCCACTTCGTGTGTTGTCTTTCTGTGTGTGTGTCTGCTCCCCAGTGACTCAGATGATGCTGAATTGATGTAGAGTATCCACTTCGTGTGTTGTCTTTCTATGTGTGTCTGTTTCCCAGTGACTCAGAAGATGCTGGTTGGGAGTAGAGTATCCACTTCGTGTGTTGTCTTTCTGTGTGTCTGTTCCCCAGTGACTCAACTATAATCTTGAGAGCCTATAACGCGAAATTTCAGGGTTAATACCTGCGATTGGCACTGCAAATATATCTCCACTGTATAGCTTTGTTCTTTAACAACAAACACACAAACGGTATGATTCCAAAGTACCTGAAATTTTCATACACCAACTCGTAATTTGCAATCTATGTGAAATTCACATAATTCAAAGACAAAAACATTTTTTTTTTTCCAGTAGAGGCTCGTATCAACATTTTTAATTCTGGAAAAAACGTGCAATGTCTTCCGATATTTCAAATACATGGCATTATGTACATTTGTTTTAAATATACTAAAAGCATCCTGCCTGTATCTTTCCTTTGATTTATTTTGACGAAATTTAAGAGGATACTCTAACCATTCCACGATTTTGGCCTCTCTTATTTATCTATTTTTTTTGTTCGTTGTTCTTAAGCACAAAGCTACACAATGGGTTATCTGTGCTGTGCCCACCACGAGTATCGAAAACCTGGTTTTATCGCTATAAGCTTTCAGTTTGTTTGTTTGTTTGTAATTAAGCACAAAGCTACACAATGAGCTATCTGTGCTCTGCCCACTACGGGTATCGAAACCCGGATTCTAGCATTGTAAGTCCGCAGACATACCGATGTGCCACTGGGGGGCATATATGCTTTCAGACTTATCACGGAGCCACTGATGATGGGGGGGGGGTCTAAAATACTATCGTATTAGAAAGTTTGAGGATATTCCAGTAAAATTATTATGATTGAATATAAGACGTACAAATGTGAAATTAGAGACAGAGTTGATATTGTGAAGAGAAACCCTGTATCAAATGCAGATGAAAAACAACAAGAAAAAAGTCAACAGTAGTTTTTTTAGAAATAAATTTATGTTTATCCATGTTGCCTAAGGATTTCTTATCATTTGAAGTACTTCTTTGATTGTTGAACAATAGTAATGTTTTTTTACACACTTGGCCTATAATGTGCAGCGACGTGAAAGGTAACTGAAGCAGTCTTCAGGTGTAATGGAGTACATTTAATAACATAAGAAATGTTGAACATTTAAAAAAAAACTTTTATCGAGTTGCTGATATGAAGTTTCTACAGTTTTGAGGATTTGATTCAAAAGCGCTTTTTGACATATTTTATTCTTCTCTATTATATAACATAAGAAATGTTGAACATTTTTTAAAAACAGTTTTATCGAGTTGCTGATATGAAGTTTCTATAATTCTGAGGATTTGATTCAAAAGCGTTTTTTGACATATTTTATTCTTCTCTATTTTTCAGGGGTTGATCCGTTTTCGCTGGAACCCCACAAGTTGTTTATGGATTATCACAGCGTCGGGTTTCGAGAGTGTGCCTCCGAAGTAGCGCGCTATCTTGTGGCGATAGAGGGCTTAGATCTACAAGACCCATTGCGGTTGCGCCTCATGAGTCACCTTCAGTGCTACTCTGCTCAGAGGGACTTGGTCATAAAATCTGCTGCTGTCCACAGTCCGTGGAATACTTCATCATCTCTAGCGACCCTTCCTCCGGCACCTCAGTATCTTTCTCAACCAGTAGCGCCACCTGGTGGGCCTGGTGTTCCAACGTCTTCTTCCATAAACCGAGAAGCGTCACCTGTATCTGCTTACTCATCTAACGAATTAAGAGTTCCTCACCAGTCTCATTCAGCCGACAATATTTCGTCCTCGTGTCTCCTTCCACCACATCTGGAACACCAATTACCTAGAGTACTATCCAACTCGGCGACTTCTATATCTTCCTCCACGATGCAGCCTTCCATAAATTCTAGCAGCTCTTCTCATCCTCAGATGCAGACCAATCAATACCCCGCGACACAGGTACTTTCAACCAATGGTTATGGATGGTCAAGTGGATCACCACAGCCATCATCTTCCACAAAACCTTACAGACCATGGGGAGCTGAGTTAGCTTACTGACCAATGGTTAGAACTGCACCCATTAAAAATAATAATAATAATAATACAAATTTTGGATCAATATAGCTAGCGTTCTACAACCTCATACAAATGGGTGGATGTGGGATATCTAGAAGCTTCGTGGAAGGGGGAGTTGTTGGCATATTCAGATAAACTTTAGAGTGCGACTTCGCGTCCGAAAGGTACTCGCAGACAGTCCACTAACACTATGTAATAAGACAGGTACTGTGTGACTTTAAATCAGGCGACGAATTCAGCAGGAGTACTGTGATTCTGTTCTCGTTCTACAGATCTCACTGATGTATTAATGCGTTCTTTTTCTTTTCTTTTCTTTTCTTTTGTATATAAACATCACATGTAGTTTTCCAACATCAAAACTATTAATTTCAACAATATATATCGAGAAATTATTTATTTTGACAGAAATATTGCCTTACGTCGTGTAAAAGTGAATGTAGTGGATAATAAAGAAAATCTAGTCTGTTTAAATATGTGTTTGGAATGCTCTTATTGTTAACAGCTCATAGAAAATTAGGACCGGCATGGCCAGGTGATTAGGGCGCCCGACTCGCAATCTGAGGGTCGCGGGTTCGAATCCCCCGTCACACCAAACATGCTC